GGGCTCTCCCGGCAGCCTCTCCGGCCGCTCCCTCGGCCCCCGCGCTGCCCTTCCCGAGCAAACCCCAGCCCTAAGCCAGGTCCAGGTCGAGGCCGTGGCCGCAGCTCAGCCGGGCCAGCAGAGACTGGGCACTGCAGGTCCCATCACATCCTACCCCAAACTGCAGCTGAGGGTCCTTCCACCTCCTGAGGGTTTATGTTCCCTTGGCAGGAGTGCAGAGAAAACAGGGCAGTTCACCAGGCACTGGCTCGGCTGGGGCTGGGGGTGCTGCCCCGCATGGACCCGTGACCCCCTGACAGTGCTGGACCCTTCTCTCCATCCTGTCCCTCCTGTCCCAGGGCGTGTGGCCCTGGAGGGGCTCTGGCAGGACGGGAGCTGGCTTTCCCTGTGGCAGGGTTGAGGGAGGGAGCCCGGGTGCTGGCAGGGCCCGGCGGTGACATGACAGGGCAGGGCGAGGAGGGAAGGGACACGAGCACAGCATCGGCATCGATGGGGCTCAGCCCAGGTGGACCCTGCTCGCTGGGAATGCCGTGTCCCCAGACCTGCTGGTGCCCTGGCTGTGCTGGGACACGGCCCTGCCAGGGCGGGATGGAGCTGGGTTGGAGCTGGGCTCCTCCGGCACAGCCCTGGCGTGGCTCTGCCCAGGGACAGACTTTGTCCCGGGGGTGCCAACCTGGCCAGCGTTTGTGCAACACCTCAAAGGCAAACCCTGGACCTGCCGAGCTCCTGCGGGTGATCCTGGAGAAGGAAAGGCCACATCCAGCCGGCAGCTTCCCCAGGTGGCCGGGCTGGTGGCCGGCTGCCCCCGGTGTGGCACAGATGGGGGCAGGGGGCAGCGGGCCCCGGCACCGCCGTGCCCGTGGGCGATATGGACGGGCTGCTCGGGCAGCTGCTTCCCAGGGAAAATGGAGCCTTTATGTTCCGGCTCCGGCCCCTTCCCCGGAAGGGCTCGGAGGGTGCCCCGGCCGGTCCCAGGCACACAAGAGGGGGATTGTTTTGGCGGGATCTGGGTTTCTGGGAGCACCTGCCCCATGCGGGGCCCTCCACA